CTTCTTGTAGGCCCCTTTCAGGTATTGGAAGACCACTATAAGGTCTCCCCGGAGAAGAAAATATCAATTACATTCTCAGCAGACATGAAAACAAACCTTTTGGACTCACTGATCAAAAGTGATAGACTTGCTTAATATAAAGCCCAGAAGGCATGGCTACTCAGTTTTCACCTAGATCCACTTCTGCTCCACTGAAAGCAGAATGGTACATCATGCACTTGCTGGAAAGCATGGTGGTGTGCTTCAGTTGCTCCTCATCTAAGATTCAGCTCAACATCACAGGAAACTGGAAAGATGGTATGAAATACAAGCTGCCCTACTGGGATGTGGGAGGTTTCTTGAGCCTGGGATCTTGGCATAATCAAGGCAGGATGCACTCATGGTCCAGATCTAATCTAGAATTTGCTATTTGAGTAATTCTGCTATGAGGCATCTAATTAAACAGTAGGGGGTAAGGGATGGCAGAAACAGAGAGACACTCACAGGCATGTGTAGGAACCTAGAAGTTCCTGTAAAATTTGGGCTGGAGAGCAAAGACTTCAGCCTTGAAGGACTCCAGAAGGAGTCATACCTAGGACATACAGAAGGATATGCTGCAGAAGCCTCATCACCCTTGATTAGTACTGTGGAAGAAAGATTGCAAACACACTTTCAGTCATTCCCACCATCATTCTGAAGACAGACACAAAGAAAGAGACACAGAATACCATGTTCTGAATAGCTCTCCCTCGGAGCAACTGCTGCAGACAGATCACGGCCAGTTCTGTTTCCTCTTCCTCCTGCCAAAACACAACAAATAACCACTCAATAATTAATTATTTCTTTGGAGACTGAGATTTCTATACATTATCCATCTAACGATCAAAAAATCTAAGTCATATCCAGCTTTTTCTCAGTTGTTTCTGAACACCATTCTTCTAATTTCTACAGAAAGGAAGGTGAGTCAGAATAATACGTACTTCCATGTTTTACAAGAGATGGGGGAGAAAGGCTGTATAATTAGATTCTATTTAAGATTTTAGAGGGTCTTTAGAGATGAGTACCCAATGCTAAGGAGATACTGATGGAGAAAATTACTGTCTGCATTAGAAGTACTATTTGTAGCTTGACTGAACCTGAGTTTGCAAAATGAGCATCAGCTACATTAATTTAACAGGTCAAGACACTAAGGGGATAGAATTATTATTGAAGGGGGAGCAAGAGAACTATTAACCATAAATAAAGGGATTAAATTAAAAGGGAGCATATACAGTTTTTCTTTTGATATTTATCCCAGTGGTGACCTTTATCAGAGTAAATCAGTAAATTTAAAAATCAGAAAGTGATAGTTTGGAAGTAAAACTAATTACATTATATTGTGATTTGTCTCTTTGAGAACTTTACTGGCCTAGCACTGTGTGACTGATACCAACTTGGAAGAATGATGGAGTAGGGAGGGAAAGGGAACATGACCATAGGAGGAAAAAAAAGGCTTATTTTAAATAGATGAAGCACAGCTGGCAGCATTTTTACTTCCTGAGAGGTATTCTAGTCTGGAATGACAGCAGCAGAAGGAAAAAGGCAATTGGGTGCCTGGAGAAGAAAAAAAGAAATCTAAAAATTACAAGAAGTTTTTTTACTAAAAACCCTATGAGGTCTGCATTGAACTGTGGTATTTTAGAAGTGTCGGAAAAACAGGGAAGA